CCAATGAGTGGTTCTTCAGATATCAGTGGAACAGTCTTGGAACAGCTAAAAATCAGCTAATTATCATGCAAATTAGGTAATTAATATTCATAGATTTTTACCAAAACCTAATCAACTCTGCGCATTATCCCAGAGCATCTATGTACCAAGTTTCACCAAAATTTGATTAGTGGTTCTTGAGATAACGGTGGAACAAAAAAAGTGACATACATACATACATACATACATACATACATACAGACAGACAGACAGACAGACAGACAGACAGACAGACAGACAGACAGACAGACAGACAGACAGACAGACAGGGTAACTGCAAAGACTCCCTTTTGTGCTTCGCACACGGGAGTCAAAAACCAAAAACAAATTGGAGTGCATATATATTCTGTTTGTTGTAACATTGAAAAAAAATATTGAAAAAATTACTTTAGACACAAAGGTGGACAACTTCTAAAACTTAAGCCCAAAATTTTAAACTACCAGTACCAGTGCAGCTTAATGAAAAACAAAAAGATTAGCGTATGCAGTGGAAAATATGCAGAGAAATTTATGAAAAGGACAATGGTTGTACAATGGTTTAATTTCCTAAGAAAGTGTAGCAGATGTCTGTGTGTACATACTGTGCCAAATACATACCTGACTGAACAGCTTAATAAGCTGTTTATTATTGATGTTATACACTCTTTTAACACTTCCCGGTAGTAATAATTTCATTAATAAATAAACATCTCCTTTGAAACCATCTAAAATAAATAAAATATTCAAATATATAATATAGGAAATTCAACTTTGACCATGTGACATTTTACAATGTGAATAACAATGTGATTTCAACAAGCAAATAATAGAATAATACTCAGTGTGAAATTCCTCTTAGTCATTGGGCAAATGAAATAATTTCCCATAGCCTTTCTAAAAGTAATTTGCCATTGGCGACTGGTACAAAGCAAATCTCAGATTTATTACCCTCAATTATCAGAAAATCAAAAGTGTTAATTTTCAAAAATGTAAAAAACAAAATTACACACAGCAATATGCATATCATATCAAGGTCACAACAAATTTCACTTACCTCCTGAGTTCCCCTTCTTGAGGTAGTTGGATACGAGTTGAGTTTTAGCATTATAGCTTGGTTCTTCAGCAATATCGGCACACACTCTACGAAACTGGCGAAATGAGTTGTCACGCTGTGTCATTGGGTCATCTGACTTTGAAGATACTATTGGTTTGATATCTAGGAAAAATAGGTATAGCGCCCTCTACTGTTTACTTTAGGTATACATAGAGTATAATGTAACAGTTCTTTCTAAAAGTCATATTTTGTCACCATGTTATATCAGTAATGAGTGGTGTTTGTGTGTACAGATTTTGAACATAGTCACATGGGGCTTCTTTGAATCGTAGAAGCCGGTATGCATCATTTTGTTGTTGTTAGGACCCCCCCCCCCCCCCCCAGAGAGCACAAGTAACATGCTCTGAACTGGCTGCTAACAAAATAATATTTTTGTTATTCTTCACATACCAACATCAGAATTTTAATTTCCATAGCAACGTATAAACAAAAAGTCCAAACAATAAGTGATAATGCCTCTGAATTTTATCAATAACCATTATTACAAACGCACAACACAAGAATAAAGAACTTAGAAGTAACTGGGTACCTTCATAATCTATTTTCTGAGGTGTTTTGATTGGTGTTTTCTTCGTTGGAGACACTACTTGGCCTGCAGTTGTCAAGGTTGCTTGTGCAGCTTTCTTTTTTGTTGGTGTCTTCTTTGGAGTTGATAGCTTGGCCTGCAACTCTAAATTACAGTTACAATTAAAATGAGAATTAGTAAAAATTAATAAAATCAGCTCATTTCTTGGACAGTCCAATGGTCTGACATAAATTTATTCGTTAATCAGTATGTATGCATGTTCTAATGTACAATATTTTGAGATGAAATATTAATGAATTTCATGACTCAGACTTCTAGTACTACCCGGTAGTACCGTAAAATCTGTATTAGAAGCCGCACCCATTCTTTTTGAATAACTGAGAACCAAAACTTCATCATTTCTCATATGTATAGATGCTTTAATAGAAGCCGCATTCCCTCTGTTGCATTGTACCATTTTAATAGAAGCTGCGGTTTCTAATACAGATTTTACAGTAGGAGTGATTACTGTAAAATACTTTATTTTAGCTGGAATTAATTTTCGCTGAAAAGACTTTTTGGGTGTTTTGTATGGAATTTATTTTCACTGATTTTTGACGAGTTGAATGTAAAAATAAATATAGGAAAAAAGGGATATTCGCTGGATTTTACTTTTTCCGAATCATTCTTTCAGTGAAAATTAATTCCAAAATAAAATAAAATATAGGTATATCATTGTAAAAAACAAGTCAGATTGATTGATTTATAATAGAGCAAATATATTATGTAACTTACCATTAATATGCTTCCTAATGGTAGCCTTCTCCTCATCTTCCATGTCTTGAAATCCCTCCAAATCACTCGGATCTTCTATTTTCTTTGTCGTTGCTCTGGCACGCTGGAACGTCTCAAACATACATCCAATATGAAAGTACTGCTTCATATCACCACCATCTTCAGAGAAAGGATTCGAGACAAGCTTTGCAATACGCGCTTCTTTCTTATCTATCTTCTGCTTGCATTTCTTACATTTGGAAGTTCCGAGTCGTGCATAGTCACAGCTGTATCGGTTTTCAGCCATGATAGTAGTCGAAAATCTTACAACAAGAAATTGCAAGCTATTATTTTGACAGTTCAACAAAACTAAGTCGACAGAACCTTCAACTTTGGTGAAAAAACTTCTCAGATGACTACTTTTCCTTGGTTGACTTTCTTGAATTTGATGTCCTACTTTCTCTGTGAAACTACGATGTGTTTTCAAACAATTCCTCCCAATACAGTCTTCAATTTTCAACACTTTAGGAAATGTACATCTTTTGAAGTATGAAATATGTCTCAACATGAAATGCTTGGGTCAAGGAATAACTAACTTGTGCTTTTTTTCCTGAAAACAGAACAAAATAATTAATTATGTGTAAATACTTGACACAATGGGGAAAAAGTAACAATGAAACAACGTATCTTAAACTACCCTGTATATTTTGAAAAGCCGCGGCTTCTATTAAAATGATACAATGAAATGGAAGGGATGCGGCTTCTATTAGAGCATCTACATGTACACATTGTGGATTTTTGGTTCTCAGTTGTTCAAAAAGAATGGGTGTGACTTCTATTAGAGATGCGACTTTTAATACAGATTTTACAGTAGTATTGATCAACCTAAAGCGAGAGTAGAAATAATACAGTGACTAACCATTGAATTAATGTACACATTTTGTAAAATTACACCACTGTTTATTATTATCATATCACAGTGGATGTAAAGTCAAATTGCATTTGTCACAATAATGATAAACAGAACTGACGCAATCATAAAGTGCCATTCAGAGAATGAGATTAAATGCATGCACAGATAATAACAATTTCATTCCAACTGTGCTACTTTGGTTTGCTTAATGTTTTTTGATGTGAATCTAAAAAAACTTAATGTCCAGGAAAAGCCACAGATAAATAATTTCACCATCACAGCAGTTATAAATATGAATGTCACTATTCTAGTTTTTGTCTAAATATTTGTTTTTCCTGATTGAAGATCTTCAGGTCGTAGTTAAAACTCCATGTTCATCAGAGTTTTTTTATTCACTATGAATAGCCATTCTTCACTACTGTCCATTATCAGCTTCAATATAATTTTTTATATTTGCAATATTTTTTTTTCAAGTTTCTGCATTTTGTACATAGTTTACAAGACATGAGTATAACGTTTAAACTTTTTGAAAAAACAATTCTTTGCTTTTGGCTACCAACTTTTGGGCAAACAAAAATTGTCTGGCCCCCATGAATAATTAATAACATTGCGTAATGCTTATTGCTGTCAAGTGCTATTGATTTTCTAGTTATGGAAATCAAATTTATAAATCAGTTTACATTTATTTATTTATTAACAAAGATTACAAATCAGATATTAGTAAGAGCAAGTTTCTAAGTAGAATACTGTATTTAGATTCATACAATTAGCTGTAAATTTAAAAAGATACAAATATATTTAAAATAAATATTTTATCAATTTTGGATGAATAGAAATGCAAGAGGTTTTCTGCTTTTTTTTTAATGTCAAAAGAGAATAAAATAAAATAAATTAAATAATTGCTTTGTTTCCACTGTAAGTATGACATTTCTAGAATTGTTTGTTTGTTTGTTTGTACTGTTTAAAGCTTCTTAATTAATTTTGAATAAATAATTAGTTGCTTGGCAAACAAGAATTTTATCAAATTTTGTACAGATAAAGTATATCTATAACATACAAGTAATTGAGTATTTCCTTGCAGTCGTCAAATGGTGCAATGTGCAATGTACAAGTGTAAAATCAGTCCCTCCTTATAGAGGGACTGTGGTAAAATGTACATTACCTTGGGACGAAACAGAAGGACCTGACAAACACTGAAACAGATCGCAATGTAAATTTCTAAAATCTCCGTTGAACGTTTTCCAACTACGGTGTTCAATTGATTTACCCTTATATGCGTACGCTGATGTGTATTTTGAGACCTGAATCATGTGGTCCAGTCATAGAGTCTTGTACGAACACGCTGACAGCCATTTACCAATAATGCTGACATAAGCTAATTGTAAACAAAAGAAATCCAAAGACGCTGTGTGATGAGTCACATGGACGCTGCAACTGGGTCTAAATAACTAAACCCCTTGCTGCAAAATGTGCCAACAAGTTTTGATTTACAATACTGCATCGATTGCAGTAATACCAACCTAATTTATCGATCTCCCAGAGACCGATCATCTGCGAGTGGAAACTTCTCCTTGGGACAATAGTCAAACGAAAGTTGGTTGTTGGGGTTTAAAGGACGCTGCCATTGAATACTCCCCAACTTGCTGTTAGACAGATAGAACAGCGCCATCATGCGACAGTAATTTAGAATTCGATTTTGTATGAAAACCACCGCTGTAATCCTAAATACATAATTTATTCTCCGTCAATTAAATATATAATTTAATAGCATATTTTGAACATATATCACTGTCGTATTATTCCATATTATCCTTCAGATTTGACTCTAACGCTTAAGGCGATATGTAATATTTTGCACCAGTTAAAGGGCCTTGGTATAACAAAAGAAAATTCTACCTTCGTGTGTGAGGGCGTACAGCGGAAACATTTTGATTCAGTAATGCTACAAATTCGTGTACACAACTCCAGGTCATTTATCCTGGACCCAATCATAATATACAATTCCACACAGCTCTGACAATTTCAGTTGTTTTCGATAAAGGTGAATTAAAGAATTTTTTTTTTTTTTTCATAAAAAACAAAATACAAAACATAATTATGCTTCTTGTCTTCTTATGTACTCTAATGAACCAAATGTGAAGGTGTTTAGATTAGCACCAGGGGATGTTCCTTAGGTTTGCGTACACTACTACGCCAAATTAGTTGTGTTTTGTTGGTTTTTAAGATTTTTATATAACACTCATTCGACTTACTTCAGTTATAACAAATACCAATTCTGAACTGGTAAAAGTTATACTGCATTCGCGGAATGAGAGAGATCAGCGCATTTAATGTAGACTTGTGTTCTAAAAGTAATCACTGGAGTAATTACTAGTACCAATAGCCGAGAAAATTAGTGATTTTTATTAAGTATGCTTCTGCCACTGACTAAATTTGTTTTCTTTCACGATAGTTTTCTTTGGAACTAGTTTAACATTCATTGCTCAGGTGAAAATAAAGTTAACATAATATGTAATTCGTTCACAAAAGTAATAATTTTTCAAAAACTGTCTTACCCGGTAGCCACCATACCTACCAGGACGTGCCGCTAAAATGGCCCCGTTTAATGACGCCACACAAGCACCATGAAAATTCGGCCATATTACGTAACCGTTTTTATGCGAGAAGTTTCTATATATGACTTAAAATTTCACATTTAACAAATATTTATTCGATTATTATCCGTTTCTTCGATGTTTGTTCTCTTGTTTTGTTTGAAAGTATTCGTGGCCTTGCTTTAGTTTCATCATGGAACTAGAAAGAGAAGGAGAGAGGACGCTATTGTTTCTGTCTGTTCTATGATAGTTATCGTTTATATTGTGACGTTAAATGCGGGGGGGCCTTTATGGGGCTACACCGTATTCAGGATCGGGGAGCTTGTTTTTAATACCGGTCTAATAGTCTTTGTCTTTGGTAGCGTGCTTATCTAATAACTCTCCTCCCTCTCAGCTCGTCCGCTGTCACGGGGTGGGGATCGTTTGGTGAATGTATATCACCACAACTGAGACTGTGCAGAGAAAGAAATATACCAGTAACGATTATAAC